AGAAATAGTGCATTTTAGACCATATTATCTACACCATCCATTTTCAAGATTTTCATATATTTATCCATCTACTTGATTTTAACCATTTTTGAAATTTTAAATTTTATAATTAGATATAAAAATAGATTTTGAGATAATCTTAAAAACATTTTACATCAAAATTATATACCATGGTAAAATTTGAAGGTACACCTTACCTCTAGAGGTACGCATGCATCCGTCCAACTGCACCCATTTAAATTTGGTATAAATAGGTCACAATCACCTCTCACCATTAAATGTAAAATTGGATAGCTGAAGGTCTGCTAATGATTGTAATCAAAGTTCAAAAAAATATTTTCCGAACTTTGTACAACAAAATGACACACCTTAACCATGCATGTTGGGGTGATTGTAACTCTATGTTCCAAAAGCAAAAGGTCTTATTATTTATAATCATGAAAAAAAGAATAGAATTTCTTTATTTTAAATGTTATCCTCTATCTTTTAGAATTCACATCATGACTTATCTTCTCATTAGAATGGATTAAGACAGGATTTCAGTGGTGGCTAATGCCTGCACCCCAAGAAGATAAATCCCTGCAACCCAAGGAAACAAAAAAATGCTACATCTACCAATTATGCATGATGACATTCAAGGGTGGCTAATGCCTGCACCCCAAGAAGATAAATCCCTGCAACCCAAGGGAACAAAAAAATGCTACATCTACCAATTATGCATGATGACAGTTGTTATTTGTCTCAAAGAAAAAGAAAAAGCATCGCGATACACAATAACTCCTAGCTATTAAATGTGAAATTGGACAGAACAGAAACTTAGAGGGTGCATCTAATAACCAACCGTGATTGTGATTTTTTTGTATCAAATAAAAAAAATATTATTAAAATCCCCCCTCTCATATAACCTTAAACTTATTAGATATTCTTTCACTAAGAGCCCTGAATTTTTGAATGTTCCCTCTTTTCCTATCTATTTAAGTAAATGGTGTCTTTGTATACTTTTCCATAAATCCCATTGGACAATGCAAAAATCTCGCTATGAACCCTAAAGAACCCTAAATTTCGTAATTTCGTTCTCTCTCTCTCTTCTCTCTGTCTCTTTCTCTCTCTATATATGATTCCAGAATTTTCTGAGTATAAAGGCAATTTGTTTCCTAACAATTTTTTGTTTAGATTGGCTCTATAAATAGCAAGAGAAAATCTGAATCATATTCTCTCTCATCCTACTTGTAAGTTTGTCTCTCCATAGCACCCCTTCAAAGGAGGAGAAGCCCTCTCAAAGTTTCTAGATCTCTCTCTACAACATCTTCCCCCCTCCATTCTCTCTCTATAGCTCCCTCCTATCTTTCTCTTTAGCACTTCTTAAAAGAGGAGAAGCCCTCTCAAAGTCCATAAAGAACTCTCTCTCTTTAGCATCCCTTCAAAGGAGGAGAAGCCTTCCTATAGTTCATAGAGAACACTCTATATATATATATATATATATATATATATCCTCTCTCTCTCTTACTTTTTTTTTTATTATTTCTTTTGACAAAATTCAATCATTTATTAATATAGGCTTTATAAGAAGGAAACTACATCAGAGGAGACAAAAAGAGAGGGCAAAGAGAAATCCATAATCTACAGCCAACAAGGCCTGAGCTCTAAGGGTATTCGTTGGCCCCTTATTACACCATTTTAAAACATTCAAGGAGTCTCCCTCAATCACGCAGGTTTCTAGAAACGAAGACTTTCAAGCCTTGAAGCAAGCTCAACGCAATCCAAATACTTCTCGGTCTTATTTCGAAACTTCTTAATCTTGTTTTGAAACCTCCCTCTCTCAGCCCATCAAAATTCGTAGAAACCAAGATCTCCCCTGCCACAAAGTTCTCTCTAGAGGGGAGAGATGGATAGAAAAGTCACCCTACTTATTATTTTGGGCCTCTTTGTATTTTCACTAATAGGTGAGGCTACAGCAGTTAATTTTCACTAATAGGTGAGACCACAACAGTTGTGTGCATTAGAAGATGTTACAAAAATTGCCTCGCTAATAGCCTTCTTTGCATTGGAGATTACACATGCTGACTTTTCACATCGACCTTGTCGACCCCTGACCGTCCAAGTCCATTTCTGATGGCCAGCGGTAGAGATCAAGTATAGGTCCTATTGTGAGTTACTATGTACCAAGCGTTAGTTTCTCTATAATTTCCCCTAGAATAGGAACCTCGGTCGTTGATGCCTCGACATAGTGCTCCATTTCCACTGTTAACACCATCCAACGGTACAGGGCACAGGGTGTATCCATGGAATGACCCATGCTGACTTCTCATATCCACCGTCCATTTCTATGACTGTAAAGGTCTGACGTTTCTACATAATTTGCCCTAGAGTAGGTAACCCTGACGCCTCAACATAATGTCATATCAAGAAATATAGGGGAGCTGTGTTGATTCCAAGTATTACATTTATGTGTAAAATGGGGTGAGTAATGGACGATTAATGAAGTTTTTCTCATTAACAAGAAAATGTTAGTTGTCCAAATGTATGCGTAAAGGAGGTTTAGATGTCATGTCATAACACCCACCGCCGACCACCTCTATCTAGAGCCCCCCACCTCCTCTATGCGCTAATGTGTTTGTTATTTTAAATCGTATCATTATCATTATCCGAGCTTTATTTTAGATTTTTTTGTTTAAATTATATAAAAGGATAGAATGCCTAAAAGTTGTGTGAGAGTTTTGCGGAGATTGAATGGCAAATTTATCAAACCATCCTCAAGAGAATAGTATTTAATGTTCCATTATTTTTTTCAAAGAAAAGGTTAGCACACGTTTTTCAAAACTGAAAATTATATCTTGTGAAAATAAGTTGTTTTTAAGCTGGAAAACCCTCGTATTGAACCTCTTTAATAAACATTTTGAAAAAGAGATTTTAAGTAACACATCTTACTGCAATAAAGCATGTATCTTAATCAAATCAACGGCATTCAACAGTCTACAGAGTAACAATCCCCACAGCATCATTGTCTCAATAATTGATTAACAAATTTGAGGAGGGAGATTATGCTTCCTCCACTCCCAATAGCTTGATCTCATTGAGTCCACTCTCTGTAGAATGGAGCAAACAGTCTCGGCTAAATTCACATTTGAGCTTGAACAGGCCGCAACTTCGAATACCCTTTCTGATAGCCCACCTGATGGCTTCAAGCCTTTGCAAAGGAGATCCAAAAGAAGGCTCCAAGCAAAAGCACAGGTTCCATTGTTCTTTAGAACATCTAGACAAGCCTGAGAGACCCTTGAGTCTTCTATAAGAGACTGCGTATCACCTTTGTTATACAAGCCTCTCAGATACCTCCATGGACTCTCATTTTCAGGATTCACTCTAATGGCCTCGATCGCATAGTCGACTTCAAAGTCTCTCATGGCTTGTAAACCACCCAATTGAGGAGACCTTGTTATCACAAAATAGCGCTGTTGAAAGCCAATGAATGATAGACACTTGTCAAATGCCAAGGCCAAAATTTGAAGATTTAAGGAGGACGGAATCCATTAATCACGTTCAGAAGAAGTGATTGGCAAAAATACAATTAAGAATAAATTGACATGAAAAGTACTACTGGTCCAGCAAAGAGGTTTACAAAATTAAGAGATTGTACTAGGGTATATCACATTGACCCAGGAAAAAGAATCCCAAGAACCCAAAAAAAAAGTAGTTTCTTTGGACAACCAATTTGATCTGGCGCTTTTGTATTTTTCTGGGATATCATATTGTTACATTTATTATTGGGATATCATCCACGTAAAGCTCTAATGAAGCAGGTCTATTTTCCTGGAATCCACTGAGATAAGTCCAAAAAGTTTTACCGCCGATTCATGTGAAATTAAATAGACAAATCAGGGCAAAATGAAGTACAAAAATATGAAACATAAGATTTTATAGCTTCATTCATTGATTAAATTAATTTAGTTTTTAAAATTAATATTGCGCTCAAACACGAATAATAAAATGATTAAATTAATTTAGTTTTTTAGGTAACTGACTTAATTCGGTTTCACCTTAACTATTTAATAATAGAAAGGCATACATAACCTAAGAGTTCCAACATCTCCCACTCCACCTAATGTGATCTCCACACTTTCCTAAGCTCAATATTTTCCACATATAAATAAGCAACTGCCAAGAGGATTCACAATCATTTCCAAGGTCAGAAGATAGTTTATAATTAGCTCTTTTCTTTCAAAGAGAGACCAACATATAATGCAACTTAGAGTCTTTACATAGGCTATGTCTGCTAGATCACAAGCATTCCCAATTAAATGAACTAATGAATGTTTTGACTCAACAACATTAGGAAGGTTTTCAGTTATTCTGCATGTATAGAGCTAATTTTAGTTGTTTTCTTCTTCTTCTTGTTTTTCTTTTTTTCTTCTTTTTTTTGACACTTCATTTGGCTACTCATGCCTATTTCAAACATCAATTCTTTCTTCTTTTTCTCGTTTTAATTGACACTTCCATAACATCAAAGGCACTAATAGTAGACGTAGTATTGTGTAGTTGGTAATATTTCAGTAAGTTTATTTAATGACTTTAGGGATGGCAATAGACCCGGACTCGCCCAGGCACCCCGGGTAGACCCGATCCGGGTCCGGGTATGGATCCAAAAATTGGACTCGGCGGGTCGGGTCCGGTAATATTTTTCGGGTCCCAATATATCAAATATATTTAAATATAACTAAATACATAGATATTTTAATATTTGGGTTGGGTACAGGTTCGACAGGACCCAACCCGACCCGGCCCGGACCATTCCCACCCCTAACGACTTTATATCTCATGCGTATCAAGATTGTGCTTTAAAGTGGATACATATCAAAGCAAATAAAAAAAATGGGTTCATACCTAGATTTCTAAATAATTCAGGCAGCATTAATTTCACCATCATAGGCTGGTTGAAGATGAGTAAGCAAAAGATGTCACTGCACTAACAATGAACTTGTTTGCGGCAAGCTATTTGTTATCTCCTATGAGGGAGCAATGCTTTGCCAAGTTACACTTTTGGAAGCTCTGGTTTAAATTTTGGAAGCCACAATCATGTTGCCCATAAAGCCCATTTTGGGAATAAACATCATGGCTCCATCTTTCTCATTTATGATGAGACGACAAAAAGATATGTTAATGGCATAGATGTAACTATTTATCAAGATAGAAGAGATTAATGGGAGAAAAAGTGGCACTTGGGGACAAAAAGACGGAGAATAAAAAAAGGACACATGCAAAGAGAAATCAATGGGCTCTTCTCATGATAATGTAAGAAAGAAAACAAAATTCCTATAAGAGGAAGCTAAGGCATCAGTTAGGGTAGAATGATCATCATCATCATCCAAGTCTTATCCCAATTATTTGGGGTCGACTACATGAATCTTGTTCCTCCATTCTTCTCTATCAAGGGTCACACCCTCAGTAAGACCATAGGTCACTATATTTTTTCTCACTACCATCCATGTCCTTTAGGCCTTCCCTGTGCCCCTCTAGAGCCCTTCACTTGAATGTTGAATCAAATCGCACCTCCTACCCGGTGATCTATTAGGTCTACGTTGCACATGGACAGCCTAAGTCTACTTTCCCTCATCTTATCACCTATTGAAGCCACACCTAAGTTCCCTCGTATATATTCATTCCGAATTCTATCATATCTTTTCTTGCCATTCATCCATCTCAACTACGTTCATCCCATGGATATATTGTTTTTTAACCACCTAACATGCCGTCCCATAAAGCATGACTGGTCTTACAGTTGTCCTATAGAACTTCCGCTTTAGTCCCAATAGTATATATGCAGTGATAAAAAAAACTCCGGACGCACATCTCCAATTCACCCACCTGCTCTACTTTTATGTGCGACATCTTCCTCAATCTCTCCATTCTCTTGGATTATTGACCCTAGAAATCGAAAACAATTTTCTTTTAGATATTTATTGACCATGAATATTAACTACTTGCTCATTTCTACTCCTACTATTACAAAACTTGCATTCCATATATTTTGTCTTAGTTTGGCAAATTTTGAAACCTTTATATTCTAGAACATCCCTCCAACGTTCTAACTCTGCGTCAATGACGCCTCTAATCTCATCAATCAACTCTGCGTCAATGACGCCTCTAATCTCATCAATCAAAACTATGTCATTCGTGAATAACATACACCGTGGTACCTCATCTTGTAGGTGTCTGGTTAACTCATCCATAGTCAAAACAAAGCGATATGGGCTCAACGCTGACCTGTGATGTATGCCCATTGTCACTAAGAACTCACTTGTCTTTCCACTAGTTGTCCACATACTAGTTAGCACTTCGTCGTACATATCTCTCACTATGTTAATATAGCCTCTAGTGACTCCTTTATTTTCAACACCCACCATATCAATCCCTAAGTACCCTATCGTCTGCTTTCTCTAAATTAATAAAAACCATGTGGAGATCTTTTCCCTTCACCCTAAATTTCTCAATCAATTGCTTAAGTAGAAAAATGGCTTTGATAATTGACCTCCTAGTATATAATTGAACTGAGTTTTTAATACACTCATTTTACGCCTTAATCGTTGCTCAACCACTCTCTCCCACAACTTCATAGTGTGGCTCAGAAGTTTAATCCCTCAATAGTTCGTATAGTTTTGTATATCTTCATTGTTCTTGTAAATAGGTACCGTAGTGCTTTTTTCCTGTCAATCTAGCATTGTCTTTGTTCTCAACACATTCTTGAACTGCTTGGTAAGCTAGCATATGCCAATCTCCCCCATGCGCTTCCAAACTTCTATCGAAATACCGTCTGGTCCTAAAGCCTTTCCTATCTTCATCTTTCTCAAAGCTTCTTTCGCTTCAAATATCTTAATCATGCAAAGATAACTATGATCTTCGCCTTCATTTACGTCAAATGTTCCTCCAAATATTGTGTTCCCATAATGCTTGTTATTTAACAATTTTTGAAAATAAATTCTCCACCTTTCTTTGACCTCCTCATCTTTCACCAGGATTCTCTGATCCTCACTCTTAATTATTTAATATGATCTAAATACCTACACTTCCTCTCTCTCATTTTTTCTTTTGGGTAAGTCAGTGGGGATTTGGGCCCCTACCCAATTTTCATTAATAAGTAAGAATGGAACAAAAGGATAAAGAGTTCATGGTATAGTTCTTTCATGAGAAGTCCTGGCCATATCAGAATAATTAGAGAAGGAATAAAATCAGGTGGTCGTGCACGCCAAACCATGGCCTCAAAGAGACTTGTAACACTCTTGGTCAAGTGATCGGCCACCAAGTTGGCCTCTCAATAGACATCCTCAATACTCCAGGGGTTGGTCATCTAGGTGGTAAAGGCAGTTTGTAATCATAATAAGAAGATTCCAGGGGGCTTATGGAGGCCGTGAAGAGAATGCACTAAAATCTGTGAATCAGTCTCAATGAGCGGTGAAAACCAATGCAACTCAATAGCTAGCTGAATGCCCCTTTCAAGGGCTGAAAATTCAGCAACATTGTTGGATTTATGCCCTAAAGGAGCAGCAAAAACGGCACAAAACCCTCCCATATTGTTTTTGATAATTCCTCCACAACCAACTGCTCCAAGTTTGCCAAGGGCATCAATGTTTAGTTTATAGAGACCTGCTGGGGGTGAAGACCATGAGACCAAACTCACAATTTTAGGATGTATTGGGTGCCACTAGATTTTGAGGTTATCAACTATAGCTTTCTTTGACGGGTGGAAGGTCCATCCTTTCACTTCTCTCTCATTTTTGCTAGTTTGTAGACATCTTTGTCACCTTCTCTTATCCCTAGTTTATTGTATTAGTTATCATATTCTTAGATTGTTTTTCTTCGCATTTTTGTTTTCTTCTAAATTTGGATCATTTCTATTATATTGTCAAGCTTTAGCCCTACTATATTCTTAGAGTGTTTTTCGTAGCAGTTTTGTTTTCTTCTAAATTTTGATCATTTATGTTATATTGTCAAGCTTTACAACATGATCATTTTTTGCTAATAGCCTTTTGAACCTCCTCACTCCACCACTAGGTTTCTTTATCAAACTTTATTCTCCCTCTAGTTTGTCCTAAGACTTCTTTTGCCACTTTCTTAATACAATCCATTTAATTCCACACAACATTAACTTCATGCTCAGAATTTCATTTTTTTTCTTTTACAAGTTTATCCCTAAATAAGTATATGTTCTCATTTTTAAAATTCCACTGCCTAGTTCTTGGACACCTATTATTTTCACTCTCTCTTCCATCTCTTTAGGCAAACATCCATAACCACGAGCCTATATTGCAGTCTTTACATGATGATAAATCTACCTTCTTGACTAGAAAAAAGTCTATATGGCTTTTATATGATCCACTTTTATAAGTTATTAAATGTTCATCTTGCTTTTTAAAATAGGTGTTTGCTATTGCTAGGTCATAGGCCATAGCAAAATCTAAGATATCATCACCCATCTCATTTTTTTCCCCAAAACCACATCCTACATATACCCCTTCATATCCACTACTAGCTTTTCCTACGTGACCATTTAAGTTCCCTCTTAAAAAGGTCCTCTCTCCATAAGGGCGAGGACTTGAAACTTTCTCTTAACCCACCCCTAGCCTCGGTAAAGGAAGTAGGTTACGTTAGGTAAGCAACCAGTATAAAACTTTGCCACATCTTATTATGAATCCTGAACCTATGAGGAGGGACCAATAAAGACCAAAAAACGAGGAACAAAACAATGAATGTATAGTCTATTAAGAGTATGTTAGCTACTAAAGCATGCTACAAGAACCACAGATTTTGATTAAACACAAGCAAATGCAAGGACCATGAATTTGGTGGCAACCCTTGAAATTCCCAATACTTGCCTGGTTCCATGCTGAGTTGTTAAAAATATCATCTTCAAGCAGTTGCTGACAGTATTGAAGCTCATCTTCCCACCCACCTAATGCCTGAAGAACCCACTGTATCAAGTAGCAAAAAATGCTGTCATAATGGAAATACCATTGCGATAAATTTCATCAATTCCAATTTATCCGATATGAAATAACATATACAACAAAACCCTGTAAAATATGTTCGTAGGACTTGCATAGGTAGACTATTTGATGTGCATGCAAATGATTGGAGAAACCACATCTAGCCAAATTCTGACGTTTGAGAAGCTAAAAACAGCTCAGACAGCTGAACAAGATCTTATGCAAGCTGCAACTATGACTAAGTTTTCTTTATAGTTGAGGGATACATAAAAGTAGTGGAGAAGTGGTATATTCTTGAGAACCAAGCAGCTAACGTCCATGTATATTGTGGCTTGGTAATTGCTAGAGGAAACATGAAAAGAGATGGCAATGAAACAGGCAGAACATACCTGCCTGTGAGACCAGGCATGATAATTTTTAGCATCAAGACCAAGTATCTTCTCGGTGAACTCAAGTTCCATCTCTGTAACTTCAGCTCCCAATTTCTCCGCAGCCCACCGCCGATGATGCCTGCAGGTAAAATTCAGTTGAGATACACTGCTCTTGTTATAGAAATCTGGATAATTCAAGCCAAATTCAACCGATAATGAAGTATGGCACCGTAATTTGGAATGTGGGTTTTTCAAGCTCTTCTTTTTCACAATGGCACTATCCTTTTTCAAAAAATTTAAACCATTTTGTCAAGTAAGGCTTTGGTAAGGCTGCAGCTTTACGAAATTTGGTAAAACTGTGTCTCAAAACGCCACGGGAAAAATCAGATCCGGCTCTACAAGAACTTGAGATGGCCAGGAAACCATTTGCACCTGACTGTGGAAATTGAAGCTTTAAAAACGGTACAGTTTTTGGTGGATTTGTGAATACTTAAAATGGATGGTCCAGAAAAGGTGTTGAAAAATAGACAATTCGTAGGCTTTAAATTCTGTCTTTTCATATTCATGATTAGCAAGGTAGAGGTGATCGATTTACAAGTTATTGAGCACCAAAATTGTATTTTCTTGTGAGATTTGAGGTGCGACTGTAAAGAGCCACGAATTCACAAAATACTTTCCTTTATTGTTTCTTGATTATTTTCCCGTTTCCAGAAATGAATTACAACCAATATTCATGGAAACACAAAATTCTGGTTTTGAATGCCTTAGCCTAAAACATTTACAGATCCAAAGGTTTACACATTGTAAGAACCCTAAAATGTTGTGAACTGTTCGTAAAACTGGACTTTACCAAATGATTTAACCACTAAAACTAGAAAAGGAAAGACACCCAATATGCTTTATTTAGAAAGTTAACTCTTAAAAACAGGTGAAGCTTATTAAGATGTTTTACATCTCCACAAACTAGCTTCTCCCTGTCCAAACTATCAGATAGAAAATTACATTATAAACTGCTATTCCTAAAATTAAAGACAAACCAAATCCTACCTTTGAACGTTTTGGCTAAGCCATAGGGACAAAGGTGATTCATTTTAACACTGCTGCTAAAAGTAACTTCTCTTTGACAAACAAATATGATCTAAGTTACATTACATTCACTCAAGGGCCCTAACAAATACGCTCGCTTTCTCCATTAAGGGTTCTTTTATAAGTTGTCAATGAATTTTTCATATTTATATTTTTAAAATATATTAAGTCCCTTTTTTCAGGGAAAATATCATTTAAGGGTCACAACCCATTAAAAATCATAAAAGGTGTCAAAAGATTTCAATTAACATTAGAGGGTTTACTTTTTAAATTTCATTTCACTTAGGTATCTCCTCAAAAAGTATATTAAAAAAGCCCAAATTCCCCAAATCAAGGTTAGGAATGCAAAAGAAGCAGTGCTATTTTATTAATTTGACCCCTCTAACAAGTTGGGCTACTCCCATCATTTGGTTAGGCCTATTAGCCAGGTCAAATCACTGAAATACCCCCGCTTGTTCAGGATTCCCAACTAGGGTTGAGAATGGGTTTGATCGGATCCAAATCCACCAAGACCTGGATATGTATTTGAAAAGTATACATGGGATCCAGACCCGATCGAACCCAAAATATTCGGATCCAGATCCGAAAAGTATACATGGGATTTGGATATGGATCCGGACTCGATCAGATCCAAAAAATTATTTTATATATTATTTTATATTTATGTAAAATAATATAAAACAAAAAATACTACATAACATATGGACCCAATTTCTATGCGGCCAAGCCGGCATATGTAGAAATGCAGGCCTC